AGTGGATATCCAGAGCATCGAAAAGTATTCAAGCGAGTTGGAAACATTGAGACAGAGTATGATGAGTCTACACGAAGAGGTAGTTGATGTGAAAGAGCGACGCCGATCGCTTCAGAGTGTGGCAAAGAGGGGGTAAGTGTGCACGTTCACGGTGGGAGATTATGTGCTGTGGTAGAGAGCGGACCCCCGAATGAAAGGAGACAAGCTGATGGTGCGATGGGTGGGACTTTTTCGCATTATACAAGAACTCCTCACCAGTTTCCTAATCGAACACTTGCTGACGAAGGAAACGTTTGATGTTCACGTGATCCGACTAAAACATTACGCGGATGACATGCTTAGTGTGACAGAGGAGCTAAAGCATCACGTGTCACTTCAAGGGATCAACTTGGGGAGAGAGCTGTGAAAGGAGGGCGAATCCAATCGCCAGTCAAAGGAATGGGAGTTGCTTGTTGGTTGGCATGGGCTTGAAGACGCAGAAGATTCATGGGAATCAATGGGCAGTATCGTGAAGGCAGTTCCAGATATTGTGAAGGCATTCGTCGAGACGTGTGATAACGCGAGGCTCATCCGGCATTACAATGAAAAATTCGAGCATGAAGCTGTGTAGTCAAGTCTTGGGGGAAGAGTGGACGGATGTCCAGGTATCAGACCTGACAACACCCTACAGTGGGTAAGCGGTTCGTGGAAGCGGTCCACAAGAACCGCCGGTTGCGAAGAGTCACGTTCCGTAGCCCACATAGGGAGAGAGAGCTTATGAAACACTACTCCATTTGCATTGAACAGCACAAGAGACTACACCCACAGACAAACGAGCAACAAAAAAACTGCTAAACGAATTGAGGACGAGCCCTTGATTACTCGAAAACTCTTTTAAGACTCGGATGCTGAAAGCAGTGATGACGAAGAAATAAAGAGACTGCGCAACTTGAATACTGGGATAAAAAAAGTATATACTGACGATATCAACAGCTACAAAAGCTCATTTGCAAATAACTTGTACGAAAGTACCCGACATAGATTTAGTGAAGCTGTTGAGGCGCGCAAAGGCAAAGAATACTTTAAAGACAATGCTCCTTAACCACCACGGAAGCATAAGATGAATCGAGATGCAATGAATTAATATAAGCTGAATTGAAAGGTTGGCTCGATTGAATCTTTATTTAACTGAATGCACTTTTTTATAGTCGATTCGAGTTTCTCGATATGATCAATTAGATTTTTAGTGATATTAACATTCAATATCGTTAGAGCATTGTAATCTAAGCATAATTGAACTCCTTCCGTTGAGTTTTCATCTTTCAAATTTTGTTTTTCGATCATCGTAATTGTTTCTGAACAAACACGCATAACATCTTGAGCTATCAAATCGACTCTCTTCTTAGCTTCTTTCTTATAGCTATAACTAACCGATTTAAGATCCTTTTATCGCTCAAACGTAAATCGATTTCCTTAATATCCTCTTTCAATTGATGATCAGACGTAGCCCATATACCAGCTTAAATGTAAATATTACCACCAAAAGAAGCTGAGATGTTTGTTAGAGTAAAAGGCCTGCCACCACGATTTGCTCACGCGTTGGACGCTACATCATAACTATATGAGATAGTGCTAACTGATTCAATTGTGATAGATGTGTTGGATTCAGCAGCTTGCAAAGGAGCGTTTAGTGATCCAATTTCGATCCAACACTACCAGTCGAAGTTATTGTAAGTCTTCATGCTTGCAGTCATCAGAACCTAATCATTGGTAGTTGCAGTTTCAAAGTATGCGCTATTAGTCAAGGTTCCATTTGTGGGGTTGCTCAGTTGTAATTCAAAACCATTGGGCGTTGCATTTGATAATTCCATGAAAATCGGCATATCGTAGCTAGCACTTCCATCATTGAGTGCATTAGATGCTTTTACCAGAGTTTATTGTGAGAGAAGCAGTCCCAAATGAACTAGTGTATGGTGTGTTAGTGTTAAATATCATTTAATTAACATTGTCAGAAACAAGGCAAAGACAACCACTTGATGGTGTAGGAGTCGACGCATCCACTGAGGTAGCCAGGGTGTATGAATGAGCTTGTACGGCTGTGATTGAAACAAAAACTATGCGTTTGAGACGTAAAACCCACAGATGGCTTGTTATTT